CCAGCGCATACCTCAGGAACCAATCAGTGCCAACATGGAAAATCGACTGAATCTCATCAAAGAGAAAAATCTAGAGAATGTCAAAGTTTTGCTGGAGCACATGGAAGTTATTATATGTTGGTTGGCCACGTCCTCTCAGTTGGAGTCAAATATGCCTTTAGTTGAATACGTTAAAAGGTACAATACAAGAGGTTTTAATTTAAGTCCAGCATACAATCATTGACAAAATCCTTGGACCATTCAGTTGAAATTCCTTGTTTTAAACAACAACCACATACAATTTCATCCCCCTGACACCCTAAATGCAATATTATCATTGAGCATGTTACCATAGTACACAACTCATCAAAATCAAGACCCAACATTGAAAGGGGGCCGAGGGGAAGAACTGAAACAATAAAGGAAATGTCAGGCTGGAGAAAAATATTTATACGGCCCAAGGTATTTTGGCAACCATTGTAGAAAGTACAAAACGTTTTCATTTTCCAGGAAACTTCCTAAAGCGAATCTCCTACCAGAAAGACTTTTCAATGATCCAGAAAAGGAGTTCAAAGTTTGCCACGTCGTTGGGACTTACCAAAAACTCGAAGAAATGTTCTCTTATGTGACCGCCGAGAATGTTGCTGACAAGTATCGCAATAAGCTGAATGAGAAGGAACATGGGCATCTTGAAGAGGTAAAATGTTATTTTAGCTCGACCTTCGTTAGTAGGAGGCCGCAACAGTGTCAAAAGTAGAAGCTTCTCTTTCCTCCTCTCCCTCTATTTTGGGGAATTTTCCTGGTCCATTCTACTCTATGAAACTTTAAAAATCCATATGAAGAAAGGATAACAATTGTTAAAACTTGTGAATAGACGTCGGCTTTTAAAAGTGTTTGATTTTAGCATGTATTCTTCGTTTGCAATATACGTCACAGCCGCCATCTTGGTYGAACTTCAACAAAGGATTTCTAATTAGTATCTATTGTTCATTCAACCAACATGGCCGCCGGTCTTTTATCTTTTGAATCTCATGGGAATGATTGAAAACGAGCAATACCATGGGCTGCCGTATTTCAGCATGTGAAAATCTTCCTAATCGGCCTTACTTTATGATAGGTCACCGGAATGCTCGGAGATAACATCGATGAACTTTGCGTCGTCTTGACTTCATTACGTCGCTTTATCTTCCGGTACTTGCTGTCTGAGAAGGAAATCCACTGGTTTCAAGACCCCCTCAGAATAATTGTTTCTCAACTCGACGACCCATCGCTCTGGCCACTGTCAATGATGTCTAGTGAGGATGGTGATGAAGAAACGCCAAAGTTCAAGCAGCTTATCAATAAGTTTGTACCTAAGTCAACACGAGCCGGTGAAGTGTACTCTGTGGTGTCATTTTACGACACTTTTGTAAAGGTAGGTTGTTTTTAGATACTTATAACTCGTCTTGAGCAACCTTAGTCCCATTTCAGACCTTTAACGTAGAATTCTTTGGTTTACTGCCATCCAAGCGTTATACCTCCCAGGGGCTCTGAAAGGGGACAAGTGTAGACCAAGGAGAGGGGATCTCTTGCACAAAATCAATAGATTATTTAACTCATTTCTTTATAGAAGCGCCAAAGCACCAAAGAGCTTGCAAAGAGGACAGCAACCAAAGGCCCTAAAAAGCTCCGTCCAAAAATGGCACCAAGTTTTAAATCTAGATTCACATAGACAGACCCACATAATGGTTTATTTAGTTAGTTTTTTTGCATCAAAGACGAGATGTTAGAGTAGATAGTCTACTTCTTCTGTTAAATTTCCTGTCAGCGCTTTATAATTACAGTTGTTTTTTGTAATAAATGTTTATTGCCGTAAAAAACATTCGAAATAAAACAATACATATCTAAAGATTTTAAGTGATCTTCAGAAAGCAAAGTCCCTTCTTGGCTTCGGAAACAATTCGACGTAATTCATCACTCCTGGGTTTTGGATCTTTTTGAATTCTGAAAAACAAACACGAAATGGCACGTTAATAATGTAAATGTANATGTAATGTGTAATGTTATTAATCTGCCATTTCAACATAAATACTCCAGAAAGTTGATTTTTAAAGGCAACGTTGATCCCTTTCTCGAGCTGAAAAGAAAGTTATGCGGGCCGTGTACGCAACCATAACATCCTCGAACTCGGAAAATATATAAGCATTTAAAACAGCAGTACCTCACCTTATAATATCACTGACGTCACCATAGCCCATGACGATAATCGTCAAACAGTCTTCAGGTATCGCTTGACAGACAGTTGATACCCTTGAGTCGAGATTCCTCAAMACTTCCTATKGAAAYGTCATCGATGACAATCAATTCCTGAATCGGCGGCCATCTTGGAAATATGTTAATATAGGTTCTCTTTACTTCTTTGACAATGTACTTACCTTTTTCGCATTTAAGTCATTATTAGCCATTCCTAGCAAAAATAAATTGTTATTAGTTATTGTTATTTTTAGCTATCGTTACTATTATAGACTTCTGAACCTTTTACGTCAATACTTTATTTTCAATGCATTGTGGGATCAGTTTCTAGAGAAAACAAAAGAAATCTGCCATCTTCTGTCCCAAACATATCCTACAATGCATTGCGTTTCGGTACATGACGTAAAACCTTCAGAGGTCTATTGCTTTAAGTAAGACACGTGCATGTCGTCGTTAAGTCACGCCTTACCCTCATAGAAATGCTGTGCTCCATGGAAATGAACCCAGACGAAATCGCAAGCTTTAATCTGGTTTACAGCACTAGAAACGATCTGTTCACAGAAAATAGCGAGTTCGTCAAATGGGATTTACGTGCTAATGGCCTCAGAAACACGTGGCAGCACGTGACTACCCCGCCCTTATATTCGTGATTGTTTCCCTCGGTCATTTTTGGCCGTTTTGGTGGGCTATAGTCCATGCTTTTTGATCAAAAATCGACCATTTTTGGCCATTTTGGTGGGCTATAGCCCATGCATATTGATCAAAAGCAACAAGCCATTTATTTACAACCGTCAATCACTTTGCTATCAAACACGTGGCACCACGTGATGACCACGCCTTGCGTCCAAATAAATGAGCATACCTCGCTATCGGAAACTCGTGAGATAACGTGATTTCCTGAGGACTTGTGAAACTTGACAATTGAAGGATAGTCGATCATGGCTGTTGTTAGTTCTAATGACGATAAACAAACACTGAAAGGTCGCGGGTTAATTGCGATTGGACGGATGGGTTGGTCGACACTGTGAGGTATTATCAGTTCATTTATGGACCAGGAGAAGGTTAGACATTTAAAGTGCCAAGACTGAAATAAATTTTTTGTTTAACTTACTTCCTGTCTTTCGTTGCTCTCGATCCATTCGATGAAACAACCTGAAGACAATCRAGGCATCTGAATCAAAGGCTTATAATGGTACTGTCAATAACTCAAACGTRTTCCGTGCTATAATTGTTTCATAAACACTTTGTCATAATAACTGTGATACAAGTCCCTTATTTTTTGCCAACAACTGCAGGTACGATTGACTGATATTATACTCTTTACCCTTCTGTGTGCTTCTCTGCCTGGCCAAATAAAGGACCTATCATAACAATCATTCATAAGCAATGACAAAGAAGACATTACTGTAATAAAGCAAAATGACAATGATGCATACGCTGCCACTTACTGCACTTACCTTTTTCAAACTTTTGTTTGACCAAYTCCATGACAGTTTTGGCATCTTCTATGGAACAATGACCATCAGAATTGTTCTGGATRTTTTTCCTAGAAAGAAACCAAGCGATAAAAGAAACGACACGGGTTATATTCAAAGTATGACTGACTCTCACTGACGGTGAGTAGAATGAATGTCAAAACGTTATTTTGWTGTCGATAATATAAAAGATTATCTACCCTAATAGTTGGTGAGCTAGGTATCGTAGCGCAGGCTTAAAATGTGAACCTCGTTTGTCACCAAACATAACAGAAGTGTCGATGATTCTATTGTGGTGCATCTAGAAGAGATAATGAAAAAAACAATCAAAATTGCTGTCATAAGCTTTCACGATTACACTATATTCTGTTTACCTTTAAAGCATTTAAATCAAATTCAAACGAATGCCCAGCCAGGATTGCATTATGGGGTAAAATTCTTTGAATCTCCTTCTGAACATCTTGCAAGGTAACTGTAACTCCTTCAAGACGTTCTGCAGTTATTCCACTGTATCTGATAACATTTGAATATTTAAGTAAAATGGTTGGTTGCTTGTGTGGTGAAATCAACAGTAATTTGGTTGTTGTTTGGTAATTGGATACACCGTCGTCTGCAGTGGGGTACCCAGTGACATCGCTCACTATGCTTTGGGTAGACTAGTGGTAGGAGTTGAGACATAGACAGTGGAAGAAAATCTAAAGGTCACCCTGGGAAGTACATGTAGTGCAATTCATTAATTTTGGGATGGTCCACCTAAGATTCRCTGGAAAAGGCTACACCATACTGACTATGGTCTGTGATACACCTTGGAGTGTCGCAAACATGTAAAAAGGATAAGGCAAGTGAGTAATTATGTCCTGTATCATTATCATAACAATGAGATAAGATAAAACTAGAATTAATTGAAGAAAAAGGCACACAACTTGCAACTTGTTTTTCTACTCTTTAATGGACGTTTCTAGCATTCACCCTTCTTTAGCAAACTGATTGCTTTGCACGCGCCACTGCTACAATAAGATAAGATATATGTATAAATGTTGACTTACTTGGTTTTGTAGTCCAGTATAGGTCTGTTTGGCATCACTAAGGTGTCATATACAACATTAAACATTTCATCTACTATTGAAATTCTAGTTAATTCATTGCCTTGAGAAGTTGAACACTGAAAAGAGGATAAGCAAACATACAGTAAGCTCCAAYATATTGACTCTTAAAAATGGTAAGGCACAACCAAAATGGGGGAAAAACTATCTTTGTCTCATAGTGGTTACCAGACAGCTAAATAATAAATGAAATTGAATTGACTGTGGTTTAGATAATTAAATTTCGTGTATGAATAGGGTGGATAAATGCATATAACTATACTTTATCATCATGTTATTTTATAGTTTGCCAAATAGCCTYACCATCTCACAGTCTATTGCAAAAACACTRGYCTTCTCATCCACTGTTGAACTGGCTGCTTCTTTGACCACACAWGGTAAGTAACCTAGTACATGATAAAACACACAAAAGTCAGATACCAAGCAAAGAGACASACATCAAATGCTTTTGTTACCATCATCGTTATCAGTGTCACTTGTGTAGCATTTGGATGGGTATTCATTGACCTTTAGCTGTTTCATAGTTAATAAATACTTTGACTTGGCATCATCTTCTGTTGAATAACAAACAATATCGTAAAGAAGTGTCCTTCCAGCCATGTTCATGTTGGGAAGGGACTGGAATCTCAACATAAAAATGGTAGTGACAATACTAACACCTTTATAGTCTTTATCTAATGTATATGTTGTGATAATTGCTTTTTCATATTCAAACAATATTTTACATAACATGCCGTACCTTGATCTTTATTTTCTTCTTTTAATTTTTCCATTTCTTTCCTTAACTGCGACTTTGGAATTGGTACATTGAGAAGACTGTCATGAGCATAATGTACAAAGAAGTCAGTCCCTGAAGCCTGGGTTTTCACAACCTAAAAAAATACAGTTGAAGTATAGTATAATTGCAGCTATTTTGTTAATGATCGTAAGCCTCAACCTACATTTTCATTAAATTCTTTGTGGATGTAAGGAAAAGCCTCAATGTTCTGTAAATAGTCATTCTCCCCTACTGATCTGAGTGCAATAACAACAACTTTTTTGATCATCTTTCTATTGTGCACTTCACACCATCGTGGGCTTACACCAGAACTATGCCACAGCAGACTGTATAATATCAAGTCTTGAATATCTTTCATCTTTAGACGGGSRTCTGGGTTCTTTTTTAAGTGTGAATTATTGAATTGTCTTTTGAGAGTTAGAATGACTGATGGCTTTTCTGTTCCCTACGTTACAAGAGACAAAGTGTCAAAAAAATATGTTTATACTTACAAAACCAACCAAGCAYAAAATGTTAAAAGTATCCATCTGTTTTTATATCAATTATTAAACCAACCTCATTGAAGTTGCTGTTTTCTTCCTTCTTCAGTTTTTTGTTAGAAAGACTTTCACCTTGAATGAAAAAGTTTAAATATTTGCACAACAGCCAATCTATGAAATGGCTCTTTACTGAACTAACAAGACTACAGCAATAACATCTTACCTGTGCTTTGTTCATTCTTTTCCTCTTCTGTTTCTAACTTCCTTTTCTTATTTTCTTCATCTCTCTAAAGAAAAATTTATCATTTTAAATTTATCATCAAAACCTAGGTAACAGTGGTTAAACTGTTTTATTGAAAAACCTATAGAAAGCACAATGACCATGGACTGTCATTCRATGATCCACCCATCCAATCATTTCATTGTTTATACTATTACTTCTAACAACTGTTCCCCTCCTCCCTGTAGGGAAATATCAGGTACCAGCTAAATACGGGAAAACTGCAAACATTATTGTCTTACCTTCTTTGCTTCTTTTTTTCTCCTCTTTTTTTCCTTCCTTCTGGAAAGTCTTTTTTCTAAAAGGATTTTCACYGCTTTAGTATTATTATCAAATACCAGTAATGCTAGTCTATCCATAAGACTCACTTAGACACCTTAACCCCCGGGGGGAGGGGGGACCTTAAGTTAAAACATATCACTACTGAAATATCTTGAAGCAATAAAATATGGCATCACATAGCATTCTAGTCTGTATTACAAATTCTACTTAAAGMAATTCTTACTTTTGATGTCATTATCGCCGTTACATGCATTTACAGTATTCTGTTGTTTACTCTCGCAATGATCTTCAATACATTCCTGGTAAGAAAACGAATATGAATGACTTCATAGCTGTAGTTTTATGTTTTCGGGAGTTTCCCATTGTGCATGGTGCTACGGCTGAAATGTTCGTCAGTCAAAACTAAATCACAAAATCAAAAAAATATTTTGAAATATTGAGACTATTATGTCTGTTGTCATTTGTCCGCCAGCAGCTGGAAGAAAGTTTAATGCTAGAACTTGCACACTAAAAGAACTCGCTTATCAAATAGTTCCTCACATTGGACATGCCTTCTTCACAGCCACCTCCATCTTGAAATGTGTCTTGCTCGTCCATGATACTATGATTCTATTCTTACTGTCAAAGGACACCCAGAAAACCAAACCCAAAACATTTTGCGGWAAAACAACATGTAAGCCGCCATTTTGAACACGGTTCAGCTGGATTGGGTACAAGCACAGGAAGCCCATCTGTCTGCCTGGTCCTACAAAAAACTCCCGGACATCTAAGTTTTCGTGACATTCTGTCCGGGAGTTCGTCCAGAGACATGAAAAATCGAAGTGCCAAGTCGATTGTCGGCGATGAAGCCGTAAATTGTCAACTGAATTTGGTCAAAAGTAAGACTATCTACAGCTAAATGTCCCGGACATATAGACACTTGAATATACAGTACACCCAGAATATACATATATAATTTATTTATCAATTTTTTTTCTGCATTTCATGAATTCATGCATTCCTTTATTTTTCATCTATCCATTCATTATTTCTGCTATTAATCMAACCAGGATTGGTTTATTCACGCATTCATTCTGTCATAATATACCTCGTTACGTGCTGTGACGATAATTATCTTTGTCACAAACAGTGGAACRGGTTCCAGCACGCTGACAGTTCAGATCCTTTCTAACCTAGTTTAGCAAAGGGCACGAACAACCAACCGTCCTTATGAACTCAATGGAATAGCTTTTGATATATTCCTTCAATCTAACAAGATGTCTGTCTTTTTTCATTTGGTTATGTTAGCGGCCATAGCGAGTCAATTACCTGTTTTACAAGGTAAGTACASCGATCACACATAATCATAACAAAAGCGGCACGCCACTATTAATGTGCTATGGATTTTAATAAGAAACTGAAGATATTCATAAAATTATTCTTTTCATTATATAATTGCATCCATGACTTTAGTTAACGAAAATGGRGGATAAGTTATGTGACATAATCTACAACCTTGATAGAGTTCCCCTATTATATGATGCCATGAATGGACAAGTTGCAGCTCATATAGGGCATAATAATCTAGGCACAAGTCAAAATGTTCTAAAACTCTAAGGAATGTTTCCTTACTGTTTTATTCGTAATTGTTCGTTTCTTTGTATATTAGTCGATGATTAATCGATGATTGATGGCTGGATGGATGTATGATTAATTAATGATTGATTTTGGTTAATTGTTTGCGGTATATTGGTCTACTGATTGGGCGGGGCCTGGAGACTTCGAGTGGCTTGCTGGTTGGTATGTCAGTTGGTTGGTTGGTCTGTTGGTTGRTTGTTTAGTCTACTGTTTACAGCGCTAATCGACTAACCCGTTATTCCAATAGGTAATAGTCTTCCACAATGGCCTGATGGACGGTACGGTTTGCCGCAGTCAATCYACGGATGTCCAGACACTGATAGCGTCACCTGGTCAACTGGAAGTCTCTCGCAGTTYCTTGAAGGGAAAAACAAGAAGTCAATGTCATTTCACATGGACGCCAATATCACCAACARAATCGTTCAAAGATCCTTCTGCATTAAAGAAACAACGAATACTACAAGRMCACAATGGCCTCCCGGAAAATACTGTATATACAGTAAGGGAAATGGGTGTCCACGAGGACTAAGACGGGGGTCATTACTGTGGGACAACACCATTGATTTCACTGGATTAAACAAGCACTCCGGTGTGTTACCTGATGGTKTCTTCACAGATTCACTGAGTTTGATAWATTTTTGCTGTGCGGTGAAGGGAAACAAATCGCATCCCATCTCCCTTCCCCTGGAGAAGCCATTCTATTTGATGGCGTTTAAATCAGATGTTTGTCAGAAGGTGGTTGGTGCGGTAAGCAGAGCTGAGTATATCCTTTATAAAACAGGTGCTAGTAATAGACTGARCCCACCACACCCATACAAAGCAAGTTCTTTCGACATCAAGCTATATTACTGCTACTATCAAGGTAAAAGTTAGGAGGAGCCGGCGGGGTCTTACCCTTTTTTAATCGAGCCACGAAGCGGCGAGACCTTTCCGTTAATCGGTTTGTTTTTTCGCACACTCCAATGTGTGATTGGTTTGCTTGAATACAGCATGAAAGTGAGATTTACTTGGCGAAGAAACAAACCGTTTATCGGAAACGTCTCGCCGCTTCGCTGCTCGATAACATAGTAAGCAAAAGAATATAAGACAAGACTCTGGAACCAGGGTAGCGGGGTCTGTTCTTCTAAATAACTGTTCTTGTACAATTTTTTCCTGGGAAAGGGATTTTGAGCTACCTTGTTGACAATCTCACAGGCAAATCTGGCACCCTTCCTTCTTTAAAATAATATTGTTCCTGGCAAATGTTTTTAAGGTCAAAAAAGGCTTAAAATATATAACGTTTTTATGGTCAAAAACGGCTTATAATTTTTTAGCTAGGAAATTTTTATTTTCCTGGCAAAAATTCTTGCCTGGAGAATTCTTTTTTCCTGAATTTCTCGCTGGCAACCAGTTGTGACTAACAGCTGGCTGGGACATAAGAACAGATATATTTCTCCCAGGAACCCCTCGGCTCCTCCTGGGATATATCCCGTTTTTTTAATTCTTGAGAATTATAGTCTCTCTGAGTACACTGGGGTAGACTTTTTTCAAGTTAAGCCGTCGTTTGAGTCTTTTGACTAAATAAAGTTGGTGCTTGTATCTGAAATTGTATAACAAAAAAGTTTYATTTATCGTTTTCCTTCAGCATGTTGGAGCAACTTTACTTCTCTAGTTGGTACGATCATGTCACCATTTTATCCCACCGACTACCCACAATTAACAACCTGTCGATGGACTATCGCTTTACCACAAGGCTACGAAATTACTTTACACTTTGAAGATGTAGATATAGAACCCTCTCCCTCATGTGACAAAGACTGGCTTAGCTTACGATTGAGAAACGGGACAACCCTGAAATACTGTAATAAATCACATCATGATGACCTCTATACGAAAAGTAATGTAATCGTCTTGGAGTTTCATTCCGACCAAGTATCTACACTTAACAAGGGTTTTAGACTACGCTATACATCTGTTTATTACAATCCAGGTAAGATTACATTTATATGACTATGGAATTGAGAAATAAAAGTCCCCAATTATGCTCTCTTTCTATTTTAATATATTGATGACACTAAATGATACTGAGAGATGTKCACCAAAATCGAAAAACATTGTCGGGTCACTAAAAGGCGGATATCATCAAAGTTAACGCCGAAGGGGGTTTTCAATACTCGAAAATTCTAATCTTATTTGCCTAAACATGTTACACTGTTATCATGGATTGTATTCTATTTAAGAACTGATATCTTTACACTAGTTAAAAACATATTGCTTCCTCGCTCCCCCAAATATTAAAATGTTGGTATTCATCAATGTAAAGGATATAGGAGGTATAAGAAATGAGAGAAGAAAAAATTGTACTCAAATTGAAATCATAATTTATTCAGATTTGGCAGTAACAACAATAGGCCCAACACCTGAACAAACAAATACAACAACATTGAACGCTACAACAGAAACAGTCCCTACAACTCCAAATGCACAGATCACGGAAGACATCACAGAATATGTGACCAAACGACCGACAGAAATTCTCAATAGTACTCAGGCCAATCCGTCTGTTGTCGTCGGAGAGACGCACCAGCCTCAGTCCTACGATGCGTGGACGGTTATTGTAGCCGTTTGCTTGATTGTTGTAATACTGGCTATTGTTCTAGTAGCCGTCTATTTTAAATGGTAAGTACTTGATTGTGACGTCATAGCTACCCGATTTATATATATGGAGATTTGTTTTGGGCTCTCTTTGGGGCACAGCTCTTATTATAATGGTACGACCTTGATAGGACCCTATGAATCGTAATTGTTCTATTCATTGTAATATTTGCTTTAGTTTAAGGAAACGATTCAATCTGCCTGAGAAGCAAGGTTCTACAGTCAAATACTGCAAGGAAGAAGAAGGCGCTTATGTGGACATTGACTGTCGAAGGTTTGTCGAAAAGATTATATTCCGTTTGTCGAACAGATTGATCRATAAAAATTAAAGGAAGTGAATACAAGATGATTTTTTCTGTTTTATTTCAGCAATTCAATCTTCGGTGAAAAAGCCAGTCCAGGAATTCCTGTCTACGACAACTATCCAAGGTAATTAAACAGGGTTGGATCCAGAAATCTGTCAGGGGGTGTCACAAATGGAGAAATTGCAAAATCGTGTATAGATAGAGAAACTTTCAATCCCCCCACCCCCTCCCCCAAGATCCGACTCTGCTATCATGTTTAATACTGACGTTTACACTGTGTGGCATTGAGTGTCAAGACTAGAGACTGTTTGAGAATTCCATGTTTTGTTTACAATACAGTGATAGTGAAACTGGAAATGCGACGCAAACTGTCAAAAATGAAGCTACAAACCCAATTTATGAAAAGATTGAGGAAAACAAAGACGTTAGGTAAGTAAAAAGGTGTAGCACGACTAGAAAAGCGCATCCCAATCAATCAAGAAAGACAAGACGTTGTTGCTATTTTTCTTTTACCACTTTGTAACAAACTCCTAACCCTAATACAATTGTATGAAATTGTCTTTAGTGAAGAGAAATGCCAAAATAATGTATTATATAGCGGAAGGTAAGCAGTCATTAGCTTGTCATTACTATCTATTCCTTGCTCTCTCTTGTATAAGATTCTTTTTGTTGTTGTTCTTCTTGTTGTTGTTGTTCTTCTTGTTCTTCTTGTTCTTCTTGTTCTTGTTCTTGTTCTTGTTCTTCTTCTTCTTCTTCTTGTTGTTGTTCTTCTTCTACTGGAGTTCTCGTTCGTCTTGTCAGTTTTTATCTTTATTTTTTAATCAGCGAACAAAATAGTGTTAATGTTTATGAAGAACTGTCAAACCCAAGAAAGAAGCAAAACAATTTATACGAAAGGTTGGTGGATAAAAACAGTTTTAAAGTAAATGAAAAAGTGTTTCTTTTTCTCACTCGAGTTTATTTTTGTTTACAGCGCTTCACTTCCTCCTGATTCAAAACGATAACTGTTCCTACCAAACGTTACCGCTACTAGTAGTGCCATAAACAAACGAAGCATCAGCTGGAGTAAATGCCTTCGAACTAGTTTTGAAATAAAGTTCCGGGAAATCAAAGTTTATTTATGTGCCATTTTCTCGTAAATGTGTGAGCTCTTTCCAATGACAGGCTCCACCCACCTCGACTTGAAAAACCCACCCGCAATACATGCATTGGGCCAAGTTGTTCATAAACATAAAGAGCTGGGTGAACATGCATCCATCTAGTTTTATAACTCGAAAGTGAAAGGTTTTGAGCAGATATCAAATGTACTTGAAAGTGAAAAGAACGACTTTCTTGTTTACAAAGATTTCTTCTGAAATAAGTGTTGAGATTTCACAGAAGTATTCTACTCCTACACGAAATAAAAGACAAGCAAACAAAATCTGAGTTTTCTAAACGATGCAGTTTCAGGTATAGCAATGGTGAGTGTAATTCCACGAAAGTTAGCTTTGGTGTTCCGGTTTTATGTGCATTGAATTACAAACAATATAGCGAAACAAGAAATTATGATATTGCTGCTTTGAGCGATTCATAGAACTTGGTGAATGCCGTTTGGAAATTCTGAATGATAAGCACTTCAAAATGGYTTGTTTGTATGTATTTTGATTTGATATAAAATTATTATATTGACCTCGTAGATGAACATGAAATTCTGCTCTGCATCTGGGTATCGTGTCGCTATAAATCCGTGAAACAAATAATGAGAATTACTTTTAAATAGTTTTGAAACGACAGAAAGAAACAAAATAATTATTTTAATTGTGTTTCTGTTTTAAACTGTTTTTGTTAGACAAATTCAGTGCTTGAACTCAAATTCCTGTTTAGCAACTGTTATCATTCAAATACATAAAGTTAAACGGTCTAACTTACCTGCCTTCTCATTACAAAAATCACGAACTTGAATATAAAGTTTCTATAGAAGCTGTTTCCTTTCGGGGCTGTTTATATGACATTATGTAAACTCGACTTAAGCGCTCATTCTCGCGCTATTCGTCTCCTTAAGTCAAACAAAGCGAAAACAGCATTTGGTAAGTCTTCATTATGATATCTCTTGCTTTTTTTATGAGTTTAATCACTTTGGCTTTGTTTTTTTTTTTTTTTTTAAATTAAAATTTCCTTAATTTAGTTGATATTGTCCCAAATTGCATTGAGTTTTCGTGAAGTTTGCGTGTTTTCTGTTATGTATGCATGAATATGTAATTTTCTTTTCTTTTAAAATTACTTTCTATATTTGGTAGCTTAAACCAGCCTTTGTTTTGAAGTTCAAAAAGATATAAAAATAGATTGAACTTCAACTTGGCATTGGAATTACACGGTGCCTTGAAATGAAACACAAATAAGGCACAAAAATTGAAATAGTATACTTTCATGGAAGTTTCATTGTTATTTTCCACCAATAAGATTCATACTCAATGGATATTTCTGCATATATAGCGGTAACTTGATCCTCTGACTGAACAAACCAATACGTTTTAAAGTGCTAATGGCGACCACTAAACCGTGCAATTGTGGCAATGAAACAAGGAACAACGGAAAAAGGAACAACGACACACATGAAGAAAACACAGACGTTCACCATACGGTAATTGGTGTCTCAATAGCTGTTGGTTGTATTGCTGTATTGGTAATCGTAGTAGGAATATGGCTGACTTTACGAAGGTATAAATACACATACTACTAGTTCCTCCTTGTTTTTGTTCCTAGTGCTAACTCTACTGCTTTTGCGGCTGTTGTTTTTGTTGTTTTTTGAATTGATGATGTTCTTCACTGTTTCGTATTCTACAGACGAAGATTACTGAAAACTGAAGAAGTCGGTCAAGAATCGGAATTATCCGATGATTACCCGAACAGTTTACGAACTTGCCGAGGCGATAGAGTTCGAGTTATGTCGATGACTAAGTTTGACATGTATGGAGGTTCACTGTGAGTATCTTACGTCGTCTGTTTTTGATGCAGCATTCATAGAAAAGTTCATAAGCGCAAATTTGTTGCGTAAGATTGCGTAAGATTGCGTAAGATTGCGTAAGATTGTGTAAGGTCCAAAAGGGTGAAACAAAGAAGACATAGAACTGATCTAAAACATGTAATTTGACTTAGAATGAATCTAGATCATGTATTTTGTATTCTCAGGTGCGATTTATCTCGTGCTGGCCACACAGAAAGAGAAAGGCATTTGGCTAAGCAAAGTTTCAGCTCGACCAGTTGGTATGACAAGTCTCACGTAAATCGATGCGACACAGTTTGAATAATTTTTCTTTCTTTGCTTTTAGTCATGACTTTCTTTACCATGGCAACCACAACAATACAATACTGAACACACTTGCTGCTACATGGAGTATACAAACACTGCCCGACCCACCCCTCCCAGGAGATGTAGTAATTCAAAGAGTATCAAGAAATCCTCTTTATAACAGGTGAAATGCATATATCTTAAACAGCAAAACTAGTGGAGAGAATGGCGTTTTTGGCTAAACAAAAAGGAAACAAMAAAGTTCGCCGCAGAGTTAAAAATACCGGCTTTCTCGCCATCAGACTGTTCCAATCTGCGTCAATATAATTTCTGAAGTTTCTTCTTTAGGCCCGGCTTAGGGAATCATGTTAGACGATGTGTCAGCAATAACGCCCTCTATGAAAGGTAAAGATAAATATTTTCATCAAATTGCACTTTKGGTTAAAAAGTTTATCACGATTTGCTTTTTGCTTACTTTTAGTGTTGATAACATTTTTTCTGGAATTAAACGTAATAAGAATTGCAGGTGAGTGATGATTAGATAAATTTAGTCAACAAATAACTGGAGATTTTAGAGTCGTTCATTACCTGCGAAAGCAGAAGGTGTAATAGTCAGCCAAACAACAAAGTCTATTACGCTAAAGTATCATGAATTCTCGTTTTTCTTTCAGAAATTATTGCTCAGGAAGCCCAGCATACCAAAGGTAAACTATCGGAATGAGTTAGATAACATGCATGCATTGATGTACATATATACAGTCTTAACTTTACAAGCTCGATTCCAAAAACTCAACTTCACGATAATAAATCACAAATAAAAACATCATGCTTTTCAATATCGCGGCTCCAAAAACGAAGAAATCGAACTCGTACGATAGTGTAGTGCTTTTTTTTATAACTTCAACAGCATCGACGAACTTAAGCTTCCATCTTCAATAACCCCAAAAGCTCAAGTTTCTCATTACGAAAGGTAAGAAAAAGCGTCAATGACTATTAGATCGACTCCTTAAAAAGATTCCTTAAAAAGGTTGAAAAACTCCTGTTCGCCTCGTCACCTTTWGTCAATGACTCATCTTCCTGCTTAAATGTTTACGTTGAAAATCTTTTAAAGGAATTGTTATAGGTAAACGCAAAAAGGAGATAGGAAAAAGATTTGACATTTTATAATTAATTCAATTTTCTTAATTCCAGAGTTGACATCATCAATTACAATTTCAAGACAATCCAACAGAATAGAAAACCGTGAAATATAGMCAATTGTCATTCAGAAAGTCTGGACCTTTATCTTAATAATTTAGTAGATATGACACTGTTGGTTTTTACTGGATTTGCTTACGTAAACGTACTTAATTTCAATATGGCTAGAGTACAACACAACATTGGAAATGAATTGAAATGAAATAAAAGGCGTTGAATTTGTCATAGATTCCTCCGCAGGTTTTCCTTTTCTTCTYTATGCTCATTTCTCTCTCTTGGTCTTCCTTTATCCCCAAAAGGTTTCCGAGGAGGCTAACTGCATGTGACCCTCCCTGTGTGGGCGTCTTACATATCTGTTGTATATTATGATTTCCTCCAATCACATTACCATCCATAAACACCTGCACTTTGGATGTTAGTTTAACCGATTTTGGTCTGACGTGTGGGACAGCGTCTCGTCTTCTTGTACCTTTCAAATGTTATCCAGTCTTAACAATACGTACATTCGTATTTACAAAGCTATAAAAAGACTCTAATGACTTTCTGATGGCCAGATGCTTGGTGTGTTTTTCTTTCGCTGAAATATTGTCAAAATTCTTTGTAAACAGATCAGTCTTAAAGTGAAAGGGATAAGAATTAATGTGGTAAATTTCACTGCTTGATTTTTTTTTTCAATTTTCTAGGGAATTTACGACATATACATAGCAATGCATCTCATTAGAACGAAAAAAAAAACGCTTGCCGCGCGTGAACTGGTAATATTTATGTYTATTGGTTTATATATTCCTCTGAAGACASCAAACACTCCCCAAAGCCTTATAAAAATATATATCACTAGRACAAGAGTTTTGTTGATCGATATTCCATGTTGTGAAACGCCGTGACACAATATTGATCCAACTCTTTTATATAAAGAAATTCATCCCTTTTTTGAGATTTTACGTTAGTTTAAACTCCCACAAATTTAACTACCAATTATGCTTTAGCTAGTTATAATGGAATTTATGCCTCATTATCGARTAATTCAATTACAGTAGCAATCAAAGTAATTCTAATGTTCTTTAACGCAATCTATCTATTCTTTTCAATGTCAATGAAAAGGGTATTGTTGGTATAAGATTGAATGTCAGTCAATTCACTTCCGAACGACGTTTCGTGTATACTTAGCAATCCTATTAGCATATTGATAATACAAATATGACATCCATACAAGCCTTACATTAAGAGGGACATCAACGATCAAGATGAACAAAGTATTTGCTATTTTTCTTTCTTTTACAATTGTTGCTACGAGCTATGGTAAGTGGATAGATAAGTAGAGACTGTTTTTATCAATACCACGCTATCTTTTCCATGAAGCAGCTTTTTTTCAGTTTTTAGTGAAGTCGGCCGAATATAGCTAACAACTTAGGTATTAGTTCTTGAATCGTGATCAATAGTGGTTTAATTAAAAAGGAAAATTAATTTGCTAGGCCTTTTAGAGTTGAAAAAGCATTGACGACTCGTAAAAAAACGGTTATAAACTGTTTTAAACTACTACAGCAATAACTATAACTAAGCCTTGAAGAAAGAGGCGGGACAGCGAGACATTAATCCAGAGAAGAAATCACGGAATCACCCGCCCCGGCTTGAGCCTGAAGACTGCCGATCACCACCCAAGATATCCCTGTTTTTAAACATATTCCATGTTCCAGAGTTCAGAGATAAGTTTATTAGACTCTCATAGACAAATAACATTTCAACATCCCAATAATATGTATACATAGAAACAATGGATCGTGTGTAGTCTTCACTGCGCATGTGCAGTTGTTGTACCAACTTTATCCCTCTTTTTTGCTATAAACATTTCTTTTTTGGCTTAGCTGTTGGGCGCGTATTTTAAACTAAAAATTAAAAAATACATTCCGCAATTGTGTTCAAAGCCGCTTAAAAATATATAGTCATAGGTTCCAAACAAGCACAGAAATATACAGCAATCGGTTGCTTCCGAGATCTGGGAAAGAGTCCCCGACCACTGCCAACATTACTCGCGGATCTACGAAACAGTATCGATTGGCACAATCTTAATAAGACAATCGATAAGTGCTCGCAACTTGCCGATCAAAGAGGCTTCAGTGTGTTTGGAGTACAATTTTACGGTGAATGCTGGAGTGGGAAGGATGCAATGACGTCATACAGTAAAGATGGCGAAGCGGAAAATTGTGTCGTTGGCGTTGGACAGGAAAGAGCAAATTTCGTCTACAAATTTTTAAAGAAAGGTATTATTCCAAGACGGTGGAAAGGGAAAAGATTGTTACTCCATAACAATTGTATTAAGCATGGTTGGTTTGTGCTTGCTGTTAGAGCTCAGTACTAGCATCGTTTTCTCGTCAAAACTCACCTTGCATGGCTGGCAACGCATGTTTCTCACCAACCAAATACAAAGCATGACTTTTTCATACTAATAAAGTATTTTTCAAATTCGATTATTTTCGTATTTCAAGCTCATTTCAACGTTGATGGCTATCCGGTGGAGAACTAGAATTCTAATGACAAATTTTTAGATGTGAATTTAGTATAATTTATGCATGCACATATCAGGAGAATGGCTACAGTATTGCAATATGTACTATAACACATGTACTGTACTAATAACCTTTGAAATTACATGCCCAAGTGAGGAATGTATATGTTTTTTTGTGGGTTCCCTGATGTATGAAGGGAGACAAGCATGGCGACCAAGAGATAAACCTATTAATTAATCCTTTATTTTTGCAATATGTACAATAACATGTATTAATAACCTTTGGAATTACATGAGGAATGTCAGCGTGAGGAATGTATATGTTTTTTTTTGTTTGTTTGTTTTTGTTTTGTTTTGTTTTGTTTTTGTTTTTGTTTTTGTGTGTGTGTGGATTCACTGGGACAAGCATGCACGGTGACCAAGATATGAACCTATCAATGAATCGTTTCATCATTTGACATATTTTAGCAACTCAATGGAAGAAAGCAAATTACAAGTTCATTGAAGGAGACATCATCGGTAAAACATCATTCCATTCTGACTTGAAAACAGCAAGTGTCAATTGTAAACAACGATGTGAAACTATTCAAGGCTGCAAAGCAGTTCGGCTCTACGATCTCGATATTGGACTGGTCTTCTGTACTTTATTCAAACGTGTTACTAAATACACGTGTCCGCTAGACAGCACAAAACTGGAATGCGTATTCGCTAAAGGAGAGTCGTGGGTAAAAATATCTTAAAGGTAATTGCATTTGTTTCCAAAAATGATCTTCGCCCAACGTGGGKYTCGAACCCACGACCCTGAGATTAAGAGTCTCATGCTCTACCGACTGAGCTAGCCGGGCTTGATATGTAAGTAATTGCTGACAAATTATGATAAAATCTTTAACTGTTTAGAATTGTTTACCCTTACTGTGGATGATTTTTTATTTATTTGATAATAATGATTTTGGAAGATGCTTTAGAAATTATCAAGTCAATATTAGACTATCATTGTGTGCTTTCCTGATTCAAATCGTTGCGTGAAAAGAAAGATATATGTAGTTTATTTAACTGACATTTATCTTCAACATTATTCCTTTTGTTTGCTATTAACAGGAATGCAAAGAATGTCAAGACTGGAATTGAGAAGTTTACTTTTAACTGGAAAACTACAAGGATGATGTAATAAACTAAAAAGAACTTATCTTAATAAATTGTCAACAAAATTATATTACAATTACATGTAACTGGTTAGGTTCCACATAGACTCCCCTTGGACGCAAGTATTAAAAACGTATTGTAACTGGAAAAGAAATGCGCATTTCTTTGTTTTTTAGTTGTTGTTGATGTTGTTGTTGTTGTTGTTGTTGTTGTTTTTTTCAAATAAATATATGAATGATCAAAAATGAAATATCCGCCCAAATGTGGGGCTTGGCCCACTACCAAACCGCTGTAGAGAACAAAACTGTTTCAAGATGATTTTGCATTTGAGATGATGACCACTCCCATTCTTTAGTACTAATCCACAATCACAAACAGCCAATTAAACAGCCAATCAACGATGTGTGATGGTCACTCGCTGACATCCGTCGGCATGTGAAAAGTACAAAATTGATCAGATAAATATAGACAACAAGTCCAAAAATTCTGCGGTTTTTATGCTCAGAACTGGATCAACGTTAACTGTCTACATGAACTGATTCTCTACCTTGCTAGCTGTGATGTTATTTGGTGAGTTTAAGGGTTATTTTGTGATATATTTGTTCATTTAAGTCGATGTGTCCAGATCCGCAAGCCGTGTCCKCGGTGTCACAGTTCTTCTAGWGTAAGAAATACAAAACWGCCTTGAWATTACTCTAAATAAGGAGAAAAAATCCTTTRAATGCGWTAAGGAACTCGAAGCGAAAGTTTGTTCAARTTTATCACATGTAYTCATGTTTTTCGATRAATTTTACGTYATGTTTACTTGGGYTGCCTGTGGTGTAAAGGGCAAAGTTTACAAAAAGCAGTTCCCAGTGCCCTCGATCTCTGTAGCTATTTTCAAAATGGCGGACGCTACAAAGCTGTTAGCACTGATTATCACGTGATATTGAAAAAAAAATCAGAGAAGCCTGGAACGAGGTTGACGAGAATGTGTTCACGTGATCTTTATACAGATACTTTTATGATCTGTAATGACAAATGATGAACCGGTTATAACTTAAACACTTATAAATGAAAGACATAAAAGAAGCTACTAGAATGATCTGATAGTGTAGTTGATTATGGTAATAATACACTAAAATGATGATTTGGACGGATTAATATATTGAACCGCAGTTCTTAAAACATTGTTGTATTATTAGGAAAACCTTATACTGAAACGAATATAGAATACTTTGATTATGAGGTGAAAAARCCATGAAAAATATGTTCAAACATTTCATCAAAAAAAAAGCGCAAATGGCGCTACACTGATTTTGAGCTCATGCATTCCGAGTGACAATATTTGACTACGAAAAATACCAGTTCTGGTTCTTTGTTATCTAACAGTTTTTCACTCTTTTTTGCTTTTTTTTCCCTTCTCTTTCTCTCCTGATTTCAACCTCTTTAGTTTCTAAGTCAAAAAGTTCTTCGACTTAACACAGGGCCGTGTTCAAGGGTGGATGAATGGGGGCACAGGCAGCAAGCAGACAAATTTACGAAAAGTAACGATCCTCATAGAGGAGAATTAAAACCTCAGTAACAATAACAGTATATTTTGAATGCAATTTCATAAGGCAACACTCGCATTTGAAATACCCCTTCAAACAGGGCAAAAATAACTGAAAACCAAAAAAACACACTAACAAACCTTTCTTAAACATTTTGAACAGTATTTCTTAAAATCGTTTTAATCTAGTGACGCCTTTTGCGAAAAGGTTAGGAAAACCAGTGTTTTTTTTTAACTCATCCCGTTTGATCGACAGTTCTCTTTATTGATTTTGTCAAACTGTCATTTTTCTTGTTACTCATTTGTAACGACTATTCTCCATAGAGATGTCCTTCCTGGCAGTATGTCAAAGCTGTATAAATCCAATTAATCGCTATTTACCAACCTTTTGTTCGTGAAAACAAAGTCTAAATAATGAATGCTTTGTAAATATTTCTCTAAGTATTGCCCCATAAATTTTGAAACTAGATTGCTGAAATATTATCTCCGTTTGAATTCCTATTCCTTCAAATTTCTCACTAGGCCTTTAAAAATTTCGTACTCGCTTCTGTTTTGTCCAGTTACTTTGGTTTTCAAACAAATGAACACTGTGTCGGATAAACGAAGCATTTCAGTATGGCTTTAGTTCTGTTTATGTTCCTTTCTTCGTAAATCAACACAGGAGGTAGCTGGTTAAATGCTCAGTTAACCCATTTGTTGATACCTGTATTTTTGGTAAACACACGAGGCCCCTGAAGCAAATACTAAAGGAAATATAGAAAGACACTTTTTATTAAGTTTATAACTTACAGATGGACTGAAATAATCTTTTGGACTCTATGATATCTGAGATAATAAAAACGCTTAAAACGGGAAATTTAGGACGTTTTTCGTACGTAATCTCTGAATCCTTTCAGATAAGAAAGCTAATCTTAGCTCTTCTTGAGGTCTTAGTTTAATTAAGTTAGTCCCCCTGTGAATGGGGTGGGTTGTTCCCATCTTTGTTGTATGTGCTCCGATCCGTGAAAGGGTAAGGTTATTCGGCTTCTAGTCTTGAGTTAAATGTATCAAAGTCAGGGATAATCTGGAATAGTACGCACAAATATTCCTGGATTTAGTGCGGTCTAGGAGTATGCAAAGTCAAAAACTTAGGCGGACAGTTCCTGGAAAGAACAGGCAACTCTACCCAAGTTGGTGTGGCATTAACCCCCATTCATTCCTGGGAATTAGGCTATTATTATATTCAAAGTAAATGTTTGTTTTTGCTGTCCATGTTGCAGTATATTATGTAAACTAAAACTCTCCCACTACTCGGCTGATTAAATACAACTAGAATTTTCGTCCTGTACCATTGTCATTACGAAGGTTATTACAATGTAAACAGTCAAAACGACACGTGTCGGTSAACAGTACTTAAAGGGCTGTTTTGAGAGGCATTTCTTCACCAGTTTGTGGAAMWCTACAACCATGAAGTTCTTGCTTGTTGGAATTCTCTTGTTCGCTTCTGCGACACTCCTTAAGGCAGAGTATGAAGATGAGGTCGAAGAGATTGACTTTGATGCTGAAATGGACATGAACGATTATCTGGTAAGTTGGAACAAGTAATGCAGTCTATCCGACGCTTCACTGACTACCTAGCTAGTTTTAATAAAGCGGACATGCATGATGTTAACATGTTATGAGGATAGCGAGAAGCAGGCAAGGTGTTGTTGTAAACGTCGTTATTCCACTTAATGCTTGTTAGAATATAGACATAATATTTAGTCATGTTAATGCCTTTCAAATGTATATAAATGAATGTTATTAACGCACGCTTCATCCATTTTTATAGGCCAAGTGCAAAAACGAGTCAAAGAAATGCAGGGAAGACGCTGGCGGTGACTATCATAAGATTTTGCAGTGTGTAAAAGACTTTGCGAAATGCATTAAAGATAACCAACCAAAACCAACCGTCCCCCCCTTCGTCCTCAAGTGTAATGCCGAATTAAAGAAATGCATGACGGCTGCTGGCGGAAGTTATTTTAAGAAAATGAAATGCTTAAGAGAACTTGCAGTGTGTCTCCGTGATAATAGGCCCAAGTCTGACAATGCTGACAGTRAAGATGCAGGTAGACCACGGCCATCCCTTCCTCCTTATCTGGTAAGTGTTTCTGAATTAAATTAAAATGGCAATATTGACATTTGCTTGATGTATGTAGACCTTATATAAGCAGTTACCAGAGTAAAACTATTGAGATACTATGTACCATACTAATCGTTGTTACCCAAATCAACTGTAAGCATGTAACTGATTTATCTATTCATTTTTATATAAAGATGAAATGTAAGGCCGAGTCAGAGAAATGCATGAAGGCTGCTGGCGGTGATCCTAAAAAGAAAATGCAGTGTCGACGAGACTTCATAAAATGCATCATGGACAACCGACCACGACCAACGCTTGGACCAAAACCAACCCTTCCTGACTTTTTGCTCAAATGTAAGGCCGAGTCAGCGAAATGCATGAAAGCTGCTGGCGGTGATCCTAAAAAGATGTTGCAGTGTCGATTAAACTTTGTAAAATGCATCAGAGAAAACCGACCAACGCTTCGACCACGACCAACCCTTCCTGACTTTTTGCTCAAATGTAAGGCCGAGTCAGCGAAATGCATGAAAGCTGCTGGCGGTGATCCTAAAAAGAGGTGGGAATGCCGAAAAGCTTTCATGAAATGCATTAAAGACAACAGACCAACAAGGGCTCCTGACAGTGACAGTGAAGATGCAAGGCGACCACGCCCATCTGGACGTCCATCCAGGAGACCACGCCCATCTGGACGCCCATCCCGGCCTCCTTTTGTTGTAAGTCGTTGTTAATTACTATAAGGGATTAAGAGTGACAACAGTATTATGGACTTAGTATTATATAAAAGTAAATATATATAGTTTCAGGGATCATTTACAACATGATAATGAGTGATTGTTGTTAATGATCGTCAGGATTAACGCTATTTTTTACTCACTGAACATTTTTTAATTCTATAAATATTGAATTGAAGGTAAAGTGCAGAATGGCAGCGAAAAAGTGCTTTAAAGCTGCTGGAGACGATCTTGAAAAAAAGAAGGAATGCCGAAAAGCTTTCATGAAATGCATTAAAGAAAATAGACCACGCCCATCTGGACGCCCTTCCAGGAGACCACGTCCATCCGGGAGACCACGCCCATCCGGGAGACCACGCCCATCTGGACGTCCATCCAGGAGACCACGCCCATAATGACAACCAGTGAAGTCACACAACGAATAAAGAAACCATATTAACACATGGGAATATTAGTGATTTGTGATCTTCAAGTAGAATATACCAATAAATAGATTCGATGAGTCTTGACATTGTGTTGTCTATTACTTATTATAAAATTTTTCATTTATAACGCGCGCTCTGATTGGCTGACGACCGTGTTTATATCAGAGGACAAAGACACGGCTTACCGGCAAAATTTTCTTTTCGCTCGAAAAATTTTATAAAAGAAATATAAAACGGCCGCTTGTGTCTCTGTCCTCTGATATAAACACGGTGGGAGTTGATATGCATTTGATATGAGTTTGCGAATAATTAACATTCAAATGTGTTACTGAATACAAGTGCACGCTGGACAGCACAAAATTGGATTATGTATTCAAAAAAGGGGAATCATGGGTAAAAGTGACTAAACTGATTTGTCGGCTAATATAGATCAGCAGTCACCCAACTTACGACCATGAGATTTAGAGTCTCGTGTTTTACCGACTGAGCTAGCAGGGATAATGATAATTCATTTTCGGTTAATTTACTCGTGTAGTATATCCGTTCAATATTTAACTCCTACTAAATTGATCGTTGATCGATCGGCAGCCACGTTGGAGGAATGAACTAAAGATACTAATGAGAAATTCTTAGTTGAAGTTCCTCCAAGATGGTCGTGGTGAATTAAAAACGAAGAATTGACTGATAACAAATAACAGTTGTGTAAAAACATAAATTAAACACCGTAAAAAAAAAGTATGTGAAATAACTTACTGACATTTCGGAAGTTAATCCTTCGTCGNTTGCAAATACAAGCCTTCGTGAAAACAAACCTAAATAGTTTAACATTGTGTAAACAGTTTTGAGGGTTGCAGCTCCTCGACTCGATCATAAAACCTAGATTTTGAGTTAAGTTCTTAAAAGTCTTCTACAAGGGCTCGTTATACAAAGTTCTCGCCATAATGCTGTTTTTTTCACAACTAGTAAACATAGTTCTCTCCACTAGAACGTGCGGCTTTTTATGATACTTGAATACACCCACACCGTAAACTCATTTTTAAAACGCTTGAATTTTCTAATGAATTTAATTTGTTACCATGGTGATCAGGTCTAGTGATCGTTGTGATCTTCGACACTCTTTTAAGTAGTAGTATAAGTCAGTCAAATATATTTCGTTCAGTTCGAGCCTCTTCAGTGTCAATATGTAAATAATAAATTATCGAAATATAGAATAATGACTTTTCGTGCACCGTTTGTAGTTCCGGGGGTTATGAATCTGAAATTGAGCAAGCGTTTCACAATTGTTAGCTGGAGTCACGAGACAACAGCCTCTCTTGACGTCGCCAAATGAACGTGATGTTTTTTAAACCTAATTTTCTCTGAAACTGCGAAGCCTGCTTGCAGTAACACTTAGCAAAAACTAGTACTTAGCTCATGCTAAAGCTATTTTCCAAATAATAAATTTCGAGACATATAGCATAAAAAGTGTATACTATCTGTCTTTCTTCAGGTCAGCGGTTCAGCTGTGACAGGTTTGAGACAATCATCGAGAGAAAACAAAATTACTGACAATAAAGAAAAACATTCAATGTAATACTAATAAAACGTAATAACTACAGACACCACAAGTCCATTCTTGTATTTTTTTTTTATTTCTTTTGAAGATTTTTTAAGGACGAAATTTGTGACGTTGCGTCAGGAAAGAGAGCCGCAAAATCAAAATATCGACAAACTCTTCTAGGAGTCKAATTTTAATCAAATTAGATTACCTCCAAAATAAATGTTTGACACTCTYTTATTCTTGTTGCAGTATATTAGGTAAACTAAAACTCTCCCACTACTCGGCTGATTAAATACAACTAGAATTTTCGTCCCGTRCCATTGTCAYTACGAAGGTTATTACAATGTAAACAGTCACAACGACACGTGTCGGTGAACAGTACTTAAAGGGCTGTTTTGACAGGCATTTCTTCACCAGTTTGTGGAAATCTACAGCCATGAAGTTCTTGCTTGTTGGAATTCTCTTGTTCGCTTCTGCGGCACTCCTTAAGGCAGAGTATGAAGATGAGGTCGAAGAGGTTGACTTTGATGCTGAGTCAGATATAGACACGAATCTCTCTGATGTTATGGTAAGTTGAAACAAGAGTTAGTCCAAATCAGATGCTTTTTAATTTTTAGTTGGCGATCAATCTACCATTCTCCATTACTCGATTCCTTCTAATGGAATTGTATATGTTAATATAAAGCAGACTTTACATTCGTATAATATATGAACAATAGATCCATTTGAAAAGCGAGCCATAGTCGAGCTCTAGCTTGTTAAGAAATCTGATCCTCAATAACTAAAGCACATTAGTATAAACATACTAATCTCATACTGCGCTGTGATTGGCTGCTCTACTAATGGTCTAATTTGTGATAGACCACTCGCGGGAAAATCAAAATAAATAAATTATAACTTATAATTTATTTTAAGGATATTTCGTAGTCCACTCGACCTCGAGGTCTAATTGTTAATTAGACTAGGTTATAGTAAAATATTTTTTTGAAGAAAAAAAATCCAAGTTAAAGTTGTATACAAACTGTTTAGGATCACAGTCTTGCCGATTCTCAAAGTGACAGTGAAGATGCAATAAGACCACATCTCTGGAGGCCACGCCCATCTGGACGTCCATCCAGAAGACCACGCCCATCTGGACGTCCATCCAGAAGACCACGCCCATCTGGACGTCCATCCAGGAGACCACGCCCATCTGGACGCCCGTCCAGGAGACCACGCCCATCTGGACGACCATCCAGAAGACCACGTCCGTCTGGACGTCCATCCAGGAGACCACGCCCATCTGGACGTCCATCCAGGAGACCACGCCCATCTGGACGCCC